TTGAGTTTTCAAAAATGTTTTCATTTTCTCTTACAGGCAGTTCTGCACTGGAGAGTTCAGGTAAGGCTGTGAAGGGCTGTATTCCACAGTCTGCACAGTAAACAGGCCATTCATTCATGTGATGCCTTTACATGCTTTTAAATAATCTGATAAGTCACAGCAATTGGCAGCAGCCTGATATTTCAGACATATCACTATCCAAATGTGGCATGTCCCCAAGTGTGTGTAAAGTGCAAGGCGCTCCCCCAGCACACTACAATACATTCATAGCCATTGTTGATCCTTCAGATATTTAGCCTGCCACTGCTTCACCTCTGTACAGATGTCACTGAAAGAATCTTCACATCCAGCTTACCAAAGGCTTTTGTGCCTCTTAATTCTTCACAAATTAAATCAGTTCATATTGTAGAGCAGAACTATAGTATCACAGATTGCCTGAAGTCTATGAGAACTATATGTACACTGACTGACACTGCATTCAGCTTTTCTGACTCATAAAAGTCACCATCAACCACACATTTATTCTGATAACAGAATAAACCTTTATAGTGCAAATATAAAATCACAATCACTGACGTTATACATGAAATGATACGTTTCTATAACATGTCATGTTGTTGATCCATCTGAACCAATCAGCTCTCAGATCAGGTGAGAGCCAGGTGTTTCCCATCATGGCCTGAACTCTTGCAGTCAGTGGAGAGCAACTGCAGCGCCTCGATCCCTTGAGAATACTGTTGTCAACATGAGTATTATTTCAGAGCAAGTCGGAGAGAAAACTAACCGGCATGCATTGTGCGCCGATCACCCATAATCGAATCTGCGCAGATCTGGGTCATCTCGAGCTTTCCTAATTTCTATACTTGCCTCTACACACTCCTCTGTCTCTGTTGTAGGCGTTTCCACCAATATCAGAAATGAAAAGCATATTTCAATTAACATTAAACTTGATTTATACATAATTCATAATTGATTTTATATAATTTCCTCCATACCCACATTGTGTGCCTCCAGCAATTATTTATGGTACTATTATCTGTAGTGTTTCTGGCAGTGATTCAAGTGTTTGAAGCTGATTAATGCTCTGCGTGTCTTTTGTATAGAAAAGAAATATGACACCTTTTAACAGGATCAGGTGTTCCGATATGCAAAGTCGTTCTGTATCACTCCTTGGTCAGTTACAGTACAACACGATCCATTAAATGACTGCTGAACAGCTGCTATGCAAGGATGTATCTTGACCTGCAGCATGGTCTATTGATGGCCCATTTACTGTCAAACCTCAAGTCACATACTGTATAAAGAAAAACCTGCTCTGTGAGAGGTGATATCTTGGTCGTACAATAGTGTGTGTGTGTGTGTCCTTATTGCCAACATCATTTTTTTTTTGTCCTACAGGAAGGATGGAGTCCCTATTGGTTTCAAAGGTTGCACATTCCACAGGTACACGAAATGTCAGCTTGATTAGATACATCTACTGTGTTGTACTCAGATTTTGGAAAGAATAATAACATTTAATGTATTTTGAATTATTGTTAATTATGTAATTTCAACTAGAAACAGGCACCTCTAGTGACCAGTGGTGGACACTAAGTACATTTACTCAAATACTCTCCTTAAGTATAATTTTGAGGTATCTGTACTTTGAGTATTTTCATTTTGTAGCACTGCATACTTTGACTTCACTGCATTTTAGAGGCAAATATTGTACTCCACTGCATTTATTTTATAACTTTAGTTACTAGCTATACACAACCAAATAAATACAAAAATTACAGTATGATCATAAGGCTGGTGGAAAAGTCACAAGCTGCCCAGCAGTCATTCAAATTTTAGACGTGTATGCTAGTAAAAACTAGCTCCACCATTACCAAGTGCAACCTTTAAATGTGATGTACACAATAATGCATCAGTAATTGTAATCCAATAATACTATATACATTTGTTAAATGTGCCCTTATGCATAAAGAATATTTTAAGTATGTTTTGATGCTGATACTTGTGTACTTAAGCATTTTGAATGCAGAACCTTTACTTGTAAGAGGGTATTTTTACAATACTGTATTCTGCTTTTACTCAAGTGAAGGATCTGAGTATTTCTTCCACCACTGCTAGTGACTTTAAAATTTATTTCACATGTAAAGCAAACTGCTTCACTTGTGCACCACTATTTTTTATTGTTGTATAGGAAAAATTACTCAACAAATGTCTTACCATCTGGTTAAATCTTGTTTCTTGTTCAACACTTTCCTAATAAATGTGAGCTCACTCACATCTGCAATTAAACTGATATGTTTTCCAATTGTTCATTGGCAGGGTGATCAAAGATTTTATGATACAAGGAGGGGACTTTGTTAATGTAAGTACATGCACACCTCTTGTGCCACAGTAAACTATCAGAGCTTTTATAGCTCTCAAATCTTAGCAAGCCTTCAGACTATGTGTGGTAAAAATCAACTCCCTGCTGTGTTTTTACATAAGCGGCTGCGTTGGTCGGCGGGATAAGAGGTTGCAAGAGGGGTGTTGTAGGTGTGTACGATACGGCCATGTTATGACGAGTCAGCATGGTTTCATTCACTTTTCCAGTCCACAAGTTTTCCATTATAAGACATACCACCAGTGTGTCGGCATTGATGGAAACCGTTTAACATCAAATACCCTAATTAATGAACATGAATTGGGTGTCATTATGGTGCCTTAACTGGCCCAAATTCGAGAGTTAATGGCAGCGAATGCTCATGTTCTTCTTCCTGTTGGCATCCACGTTCCAGCTGTCCCTCTTATACATGATTGGTCAGTGCAGCGCGTTTGCCAGATAATGTCGCTGTCTGGTGCAGCAAAAGTTGAACCAGATTAAACTTTTTTGCTGCACAGAGCTGTGTCATTTCACTGTAGTGCTGGTGCTTCTGCCGGCTGCGGTAAACGCAATCCCCCCCATAGAAATGAATGGAGAGGAGTGCATTTTTTTCACACCTTTAAAACTCTGTCTGAAAGCAGCCTTTCACCAAGGCAACAATTGTATTCTTATGACACAAATAAACTTTGTGGCGTGCATTTCTGGTGTAGGAACTGAGCCAGCGTGCCTCACAGCAGTGTTATCTTGCCATGATGTCAGACAAATATTGAATTGAGCAGGAGCAAAATACTTCTGCCATCTGGTGGACCTGTGAATTGTAGCACCTCAACTATTTTGAATGTGTTATGTGTTTGTCCTTTGTGATCACTGTCTCATGTGTTGTTTGTCTTCTGTGTAGGGTGATGGAACAGGTATCTGCAGCATCTACAGAGGTCCCTTTGCAGATGAAAACTTCAGAGTGAAGCATTCAGCACCTGGTCTTCTATCCATGGTATGTGTGTAGATCCAAGGTTTGTTCATATATTTTCACTTCAGTCTAATCAAGATGGGAGTTAAACTTGTAGTTAAAATTAGAACTGCTGTTCTTTCTTCATAGTGTGAGTCTTACTTTTATCTTTCCAAATGTTGCTTCTCAGGCAAACAGTGGTCCAGGGACAAATGGTTGCCAGTTTTTCCTTACCTGCACTAAATGTGACTGGTTAGATGGGAAGCATGTAGTTTTTGGTGAGTCTACAGCATTAACTGTACTTTTGTATGTATTTTGCCTGTATTTTAATTTGTTACTGTGTCAGAGTTAAATTATCTTGTTCCCATCTGTTTCAGGAAAAGTGGTAGATGGTTTGCTGATCATGAGAAAAATTGAGGTAAAAACTCATTTGAATATTCCTTTATGTTGGTTTAAATAACGCAGACTGTGTCCTCAACCTTTGACAGGAATAAACCTGTAAATGCATTTTAAAATGATCTGTACGTTGACTAAATTACTAGACATTCTCTCATAATGATGATAAATAAGAAAATGCATCCAAGCTTAAACACACTGTAAAGCTGTCATCTGGAATTTCACACATCTCTCAGATCAGTGTCAGAATGCTTATTTTGATGGGGTTCACTGTCTTCGCTGTAGTGTTTTAAAGCTTCTGTCACATATTTCAGAGCAGGCATTCTACCTGTGTCTGAAATCAAACCATTGATACTTAGAGTAAAAATTTAGTTAGGTGTTTATGTGGTTGAGAGTTTTTGTTCTAAATTTGTGCTCCTTCCTCCCAACAGAATGTTCCTACAGGACCCAACAACAAGCCAAAACTCCCCATAGTCATTGCACAGTGTGGAGAGATGTGATCACAACATCACTGTAGAAACTACACAACCTGTATGAAGGTCTTCTCCCATAATGCAAATTGAAGAGCATTTTAAAGTTAGTAGGACATCACTTTGGCCATTGTCTGAATTTTGTATTCCTAATTTTGAGTCGACTGTTGCATCCAAACCCTAATAAAATGACTGACATCTTAGGGGGGTTTGGTAATGACAGGATCTATGTAATGTTTGGGTTTGAAATTAATTTTGAGAAGCCTTATGTTCAACATTGTTGTTAATGTTTTCTGAGTCTAAATTTGACTTTTTTCAGCCTAAATAATTTGGATAGCATGTGAATCATTCTAATTTAATTCTCACTATGTATGACTTAAGTTGTTTTTCCATTTTTATAAACTTCCAGAGGACCTCTTACTTGACTGAAAAATTTGTTTAAAAAATGTACATGCCAGTAGCTTTGCTTTTTGCATTAGGTTGCTATATTCCCAATATTCAAAGTTTAAAGAGAAGGGGCATGCTTTTCCTTGTTTTCTGGCTTATCTACAATGTTACAATGGTGAATTATCATTTTAGATGTGACCTAAAGCTCAAAAAATGAGGTGTACATATGTTTTATTATTTCTATGCAGAAGCAACTCTGTTTATACAAGTCTAGCATACTCTCGCTATCGAGACTTTTTTCTACCAAAATAAAGTATTACGTGATAGTTTAAGGATCTCCTTGAATGGGCATTAAATCCAGGTCGTTGCGCGTTCATGTTAGTTTGCCTGACATTCATCGGGGCCTCCACCATATTGGCAAAACGTTATACTGCCTTGTTTATCTTTATTTTCAATAAAGATTTTTTTAAAAACGGCATCCACCAGTGCCATTGTAAAAGCGGAATTTTTCGTCTGCACCTGTATTTTCCCTCCTGCTTGAGGCCAGTGCCTACCGCATGTGATGTGTTGCTGGTTAAAGAGAGGATCAACAACCCATGATGTTCTTGTTGGAGTTACTCTACCTATTGGAATTAGTTTCACTACTTTGGGACTGTATGTTGGATTTACAGACCTTGGAGCTACTTGAAAGGGAGTGATGTTTCCACTATTCAGTGGGACTTAACAGTAAGTAAAAAAAAAACAAAACAAAACAACACATCTTGCATGTCTGTTAATGCCTTATTCCTGTAAGGGTAGAGAGAATTGTTATAAGGCTGGAGACGTTGCTATGTCTGCATTATGCCAGTTCAAATATGGCATTTCTCAACAACCCACTTTGTTTAGAGTGTTACAGATCTCTTCATTGGTACATATACAGTTGTTTACCTATCTATGGAGGAGAAATTCAAGTTAATGCTGTTGCGGTTCATTGTGCTGTCCATTTGGAACACAGCACCAGCAACAGCAGGTGTGCACATTCATGAACTATCCTCTCGTTTTTAGGAAGAGGTGTTTTGGTTTTATTATTCTGAAAGATTATAGACTATTTGGAGTTATGATGGGTGCCAAGATTAAATATTAAAGGGCTGGAAACAAACATGCCATGGGGACTTTAAATAATGTTCTCTCAACTCCCAATAGTAAAAGTTTACACATATATTAAAAAGTATATACACATTAAAATATGCATATGTAATTAGTTTGGGTGCTTTTGCTCTCCACCATGTTCCCAAAATGTTTTATTTCAATAATAAGAGTAGCCTTTCTGTGCAACCAAGTATAAATGAGTAATACCCTGTATTTAGTTTGGTCTTCCTTTTATTCAACTTTTTAAAAATCAATTTAATGTAAATTTGACAAACTAGTCGCATATTTAAACAGTTGGGACTTGGAAACTGAGTTCACTTTTGTGTTTGAAGAACACTGTACCCAGTGTAATGCGTTGTTTGTAGTAGGATTTGTTAGCAAAATTTTGCCTCATTTGGCTCAGAATATTTTGTGGGGGGGCAACTGTTTTCCTTTGAGTTTTTAGCAAGGAAAGCAATTTTATTCATTAGCAGGGAATTTACAGAGTGGTATAATTGGACTGAAGTGATAATGGGTAATAATCACTGCTAAGGTGCACAGGAATGAACACTACAGTGAAAGGCACGAGAGTCCTCTAAAGAACACACTCCAGTGCCAGGTCATCCTCTGCTGAACTTATGGCTACCTCTCTTTTCCCTGCCATCCATACAAATCTTAGCCCACAGACCCCCTCCCCCATCCATGCTTTCCCTCCTCTGCGCTGGACCTTGTATGCCTTGGCACAAAAGAATCCTTTCAGTCTCTGTTCTTATAGAGGCAGGAAGAAGGTTTGCTTATTCATTTATTTATTTATTTAAGAGGAGGTGGGTCCCTTCATGGAGAGGCTTTCCAGAGTCAATGCTAAAGCTCATCTTTGTGTGTGAGAGAACGGTGTGAGCTCTTCATACATCAACCAGTGCTCATAAACAGTGCCAGTGGAGCATTAACATGACAATGGGTGGGGAGCAGTGGTGGGGTAGTCTCACAGGCAGTCTGGGTTCGTCTGTCCTGTGTTTCTGGAAGTAGAGTTGCTGAATTTTCTCAGGATAATGGCTGTATTTAAACCATTTATTGTTCAAGTGAATTTGAATGGAGAAGCAAATTATATATCTGGATTCACCATCGTTTCACCTTATGTGTTCCCTTAAAATTTAAGAAGGGTAATCACCTAAGATACAGTTACAAGCTTTTAAATGTCCTCAGTGTGAATCCCAAACAAATTAAGGGTCAAATACCATTGTTAGTGTCTAAATTATGAAGGAACATTATTATTTTTCATCTTGGGTTTGTATTCTAAGATCATCTTTGTCATTACACTGTCCACTAATGACTGGGACTGATCTGTAAAAAATATCACATTTCAGCTTCTGCAGTAGGATTTATTGTCCAGTAATTTCCAGTGAGATGAAGCGGTGTACTCAGTTCTCTGGGTTTAAGTGTTACATTAAAAAACTGTGTATAAAATGGTGAGAACCTCTGTAATGTATAACAAAATAAGCTCTCTTTCTACAGTAGAGTCTTCCAAGCTATTGTGTCTTCGAGAAGTATACTGCAACAGTGACAGAGCAGAAATGATAAATATATGCTATGTAATCTGTCATTAAATGTTCATTAAATAAAATATTAATGCTATCTTAATCCTTCCCCTGTATTGAGGTCAGTCATCCCTCAGTAATTTCAACAAGGCTGCACTCAGTGCAGATCGTTTTACAAATAGTGTGCAATATCTAGGGCTTTTAACAGTGGGCAAATATCGTTGTGTCCCTTATCAAAAGATAGCTGCTCATAAGTCAAACGCTTTGCCCAGAAAAAAAAAAACATGGAAGTAAGATATGTCAAAGTCAAGCTGTCTGACATGTTTATGGCACAATTTTATGAATAATAATTCTAGTGCTCATGTTATGCAAGCATTTGTACATTGTGTTGCAATCCATCAACGTGACACAGCTCAGCAGATACTGTTCCTCATGCCACTGTTCTGTCATGGCTTTGGCATCACTGTGGGGCGGGGAGAGTAGACAGGTACGTTCTCCTTTAGCCAATCATTTTTAGGAAACACTTCTCTCAAAAGAAATTGACAGTTGTCTTAGCCAAAATAGGAATGCAATTTGTTTTTTTATTACGGATTCCAGCCAATTCGAAGGGCAATTGGGCGGACCCCGAACAGAAACATTCTCCGGCGCACACTCTCATTCTGCCCAGTTCGATCGGCAACGGGAGCGGAAAGAGGAAAGCAGCGAGCCTGAAGGCAGTAGCCCCCACCACCGCCGGCCCAGGTTACCATCTAGCACCGGGAAACATAGCAGAGAGCCGCCGCCGGCAGAAGCCATTACCAACCAGTCAGTAGTAACCATGAGCGGCGAGGCCGAGACACAACAACAACCACCGCAGCCTGCTGCCGATGCGGAGAGTCCATCCAGCCCGGCAGCCGCAGCTTCCGCGGGGGATAAGAAGGTCATCGGTAAGACTACTAGAAAGCTAGTTAGCTAACGTGGTTTGCGACGCAGTGGAAGCGACGGCTGCCAACGTTAACGTGCTGATCACTGCCTCAGTTAATTGTTTATTATATCACATTAACATGGCATCGCCGTTATTAAGTCGCAATTTAGCAGAGGGTAAAATTTACGTTTTTGATAATTTGTGCGATGTCTGTAGTTTATTTGATCCAGGTTACATAGAGTATGTTATTGGCGATGAGAAGTTTTAACTTTAAATTAATTAAATTACTTTTGCTGTCAGACAGCGAAACGTAAATGCGAGAGCTCTTATATTAACTGCTATATATCAACAGAAAATTGATCGTGTCATCAGTACTAGTTTTAATGATTTGTAGTTTGTCAATTTATATATCAGATGGAGATGATCAATAATTTCTATTAAACATGATTAAGTGAAGATGGGAGCCCAAGACCGGTTAAAAAGTTGCCTTTTAGTTTTATCCGATAATCTCTGCTGTTCATCGGCCTCCTAACGTCCGCCATAGAAAGCCATGTTGCCGGTTGGTCATCACATGCACGGCCGTTCAGTTTGTTTCTAACGTTAGCTATTATCAGGACCGGTGTCTGAATATTAACCTTAGTGCGACTTTTTTTTATCGACTGTATGGCTGTCGGCCAACAGTAGCTGACATTGAGACGTTAACACCAAGTTTAATCTACAGCAGTTAACTGAAACATGCATCATGGTGGAACATCAAGCTATTTCTTACTGCTCACGTAACCGGCTGCAGTCACTGTCGTCGAAAACAAGCTAACGTTAGCCACTGGCCGTCTCTTTGTTCACGCAAAATAGCTTGGTTCCATGATGTTTCTCTTACTCCAAAATAGTTTAAACACAAACTTTTGCCCAGTGTCGCCGACGAAGCAACCATATCGGAGCTTGTTTCTAAATGGACCAGAATACAAGTGTCAACGGTTGTCGAATTTTGCTCGTATTTAAGGACTATATTTATGGCCTACCTAGGTTACTTAACAGCGATGGTAGCTCGGTGGCTAACTAGCCTGTGTTAGCTATTTACATGGCTGAAGGGGCCACCCAAAATGTCCGCCGTATAATTACACAGATTTCTCTTTTAATTTAGTTGTTTTTTGATTTAAAAAAATTAAACAACTAAATATCTCTCTCCATCCACACAAAGCATAAGGTCCTAATAAATGCTATCTGGTGTGTTATGGTCGTTTCCGCTTGTTGGCTCTAGTCCAGCCACATGGTTGCGAGCCAGTTAGCTACATATAGCTATGCTAACAAGCCAGCTGGGCTCAGTACTTGCTAACGTATCCGTCCGCGACTCTACCACGTGTGAACGCTCAGACATTGAGGAGTGCGGCTTAAAATGGGGCAGTAGGTCTGTAGTAGTTGAGCTTTGAAATGTTGTCAGCGACCACTGTATCCATGTTTACTATGTCACACTATAGCAGCTCAGTTAAACAGAAGCAGTGACAGCTGGGAGTTAAAAATAACATCCACATTATTTGTGGCCTTGGTTAGGTTTTCATAATATGTTGTATTTGATTCCTTTACTTCTTCTCAAGTGAAGAGTTCATGTGAAACATGAAGAAGCGTGTTTTAAGGTTTTTAATTTCTACTTGGTGAAAAAGAAATGACTAAAGCTTATTATTGAAAATTTCTTGTATCTCATTGCAGCAACAAAAGTCTTGGGTACAGTCAAATGGTTCAACGTCAGGAATGGATATGGTTTTATCAATAGGTAAGTGGAGAACCCCCAGATACACTTGCTTTCTGTGGCTCAGCAGGATATTGCTAACTACTTGTAACTGTCTTTTCTTTCTTTGCTCAGGAATGATACAAAAGAGGACGTTTTTGTACACCAGGTAAGTTTTTGATTTTCTGCTTTTTTATTATTGTTTTAAATGTTCATTAATTTAAAATCTGGACTATTCTTGATTTCAGACAGCCATCAAAAAGAACAATCCGAGAAAATACCTTCGCAGTGTTGGAGATGGAGAAACTGTGGAGTTTGATGTAGTTGAAGGAGAGAAGGTAAGCACTGATCGGTAATTTAGACTATGTTCAAAGTTCTGATTTTTAGTTTGCAGTTTGCAAATCAGATAACGTTTTTATTTTATTTTTTTATTGCGTTTCTTGGGGGGAATAAATAAATAACAATCCCACTGTGTACAGGGAGCAGAGGCAGCAAATGTCACCGGCCCAGGAGGTGTTGCAGTCCAGGGAAGCAAGTACGCTGCTGACAGGAACCGCTATAGGCGCTACCCCCGAAGGAGGGGCCCACCCCGTGGTGGAGACTATCCAGACAACTACCAGAGTGATGGAGAGGGTGAGCCTGGCAGTGGAGGTCGTGACAAAAGCAGCCGAGAGGGGGGAGAGAGCGCCCCTGAAGGAGACTCACAGCAGCGCAGACCCACTTACTCTGGCAGACGGCGCTACCCACCATACTTTGTACGTAGACGCTACGGCCGCCGGCCCCCGTACACCAACGCACCACGCGGAGAGATGACTGAGGTACGCCGTCACAGGGCTACTATCCTGAAGCAGGCACCCAGCTGTCCCAAACCAACATTGGGACCCTTGATATCTTGATGTCATACTCTAAACGCTCTCCTCTGTAACACTCACGTGGTTGTGAACAATCAATCTTGGTGTATCGGGGGTCTTGCCAATATCTTGCAAACTGACATAAATAGACCCCTTCTGTCAGCACTGCCAGGTGTTGTACGTTTTTATCAGCCTCAAAATAAAATGGCAACCTGGCCGGCTTCATTACAACCAAGGGCCTGGTTTGCATGTGTGTTGGCTCTGGAAAAAGCTGTGTCAGTTGTTGTCATTTGATCTGTTTGCTTTCAGGGAGGTGAGGGTGACGAGAGCCAGGGAGGTCCAGACCAGGGCAGCAAACCAGTGAGGCAGAACTACTACAGAGGCTTCCGACCAAGGTTCAGACCAAGGTTTGATTGTTGGGTTCAGTGATGCAGGGCTGCAATAACAAAGAGGGACACATTGGACTGTCTGGATTGTAGTCATGAGTCCATAAACAGATTTTTTTTTCTTTTAAACAGTGATGATGCCACCTGTTTTGGCCTGAGAAGCTCCCCTTTTATTGCGGCTGTGCATCCAAATCTGGTTTAGGTGGAATTTTCTTACCATTAGTTGTCAGCTGCATCTCGCTGGATGTATTCTTTGCATGACATCACAACTTCTGAGTCATGATACACTTGATGTTTGCTTACAGTGTCTTCGTTTTGCTTGTTTGTCTCCAGGGGTCCACCTCGTCCCAGACCGGTGCGGGATGGTGAAGAGGACAAAGAGAACCAGGGTGGCGAAGGAGGTCAAAACCAACAGCCCCGCCAGCGGCGCTACCGCCGTAACTACAACTATCGTCGCAGACGCCAACAGAGTGGTGGCAAACCTGGCCAGGAAACCAAGGAGGCCAAGACAGGAGGTGACCCATCTGCAGAGAAAACGTCCGCTCCCGAGGCCCAGCAGGGTGGGGCTGAGTAGGAAACACCTGCCCACCGGCACCTACCATCTTTTACCATCGTCCGGGTAAGTATGTAGCCACATAATGGCTAATTTGGTTTGGTCTTCATCATTTCCTTGAGCTTTAGCTGCTTTAATGTCTGGATTCACATAATCTGCATATTCCAAAGCTGGTGGTGACGATAAAATATACTGATCAAACAAACTAAGAAAGATCAGTGTTTTTTTTTTTTAAAGATTATTCCCCCTGCACCATAGGGCCCATTCACTTCCCAGTGAGCAGCATCTTTGGGCTTTGGAATATTTTTCTGCAACTGATGCTACATGACTACACCCAATTGTATGAAAATGCATTGTATAGATGAACAAGGAACTAATATACCATTTTTTCTTCTTACAGTTTTTTTGTCAACAAGAAGAAACATCAAACAAGATCTGAGCAATAAAGATTTGACTTGACGATCGTCACAAGCTTGCACCATGCATTTGACCAGATTACCACCGATTGCCTGCAGAATCTATGCAGACCTGTTTTTTTTCCATTATTTTTATGTGACAGCTACAAAACATTTTGGGGAAACAGCAAATGTTTTTCTAAAATCTGTCCTAAGTTTTTACACCAAATGGTTTTTAAAGAAAAAATGGAATTTGATATCTGTGGTCAGTTTGACATTTTTAAATAACTTTTTATGTATTCAAACATTTTAACAAAATGCAAGCTCAAATAAAAGTCCAGAAATGAGAAAAACAGTCTATAGTGAGAGTTTTTTCCTCAGGTATTCTAGACTCTACACAGTAGCATAGACCATGGTATGTTTTCATACCAAGCAGACAAGTTGGTGTTTTTTTTTCCTCATTTATTTAGACAAATAACTGCCTATGGTGCAGTAAATGGTATTTAATCAAAATTTAACACTGGCACAGGATGTCAGACTGCATTTTAGAATGACAAATGTTTTGCCAAAACATTTGTTTTACACCAGGTTAATAAAGAAACCCTCAAAGACACTTTCATTGATATTAACACATGATCCAAAGAAATGTAGCCAGTATGTTATGCTTGACTCCTCATCTTTGAGACTCCTGAAACCCAAACTCTTGTTTTTACATGTAGAAAATACAATTTTGTATCTCCTAGATTTGAAATGAAATCTGAGCTTCAGTATTTGCTAGAGCAAGTTAAAATTTACACCAAGGGGGTAAAACAAGTTTAATAAAACATACATTGTTGGCCAATAAATCATGCTACTGCAAATATCTGTGCCTTTGTATAGGTGGACAAAACCTTTACTATATAACAGCTGTTGCATATAGTGTTGATTTATCTTCTCATTCAACTGGATTGGGTGTGTTTTTAAAATGGTTTGGATAGTTTGGCAGTAAAGAGCAACATTAAGCATAAGACACTTGCTGGATTCAGTCCAAAAACCTTATGGTTCCAGTGTATACATCTCAAGCCAGTGGAGAACCAGTATGGCATTAATAGCTTGATGTCTTTCAGTCTGTTGGTAATGGACCTGTAGACCACTGAAAGTTTTTCTGTGTTAAGTAATGCAGCCAAAAATCAAACATAATGAGCCTCACAAATGTATCGGATAACATTTACTTTGTCATCCCCTCTGTACATCATGATATGGGAATATTGCTATTAAGAGTCAGACATTGGTCTCTTTGCGCAGGCGCTTCATGCGTTGCACGTTGCTCTCCATGGCAGTAGGGTTTGTGATCTCTGTGGCACAACTAGCTGGAAACCAGCCTCTTTCTCCATCTCGCATTCTCTCCCCATAGCACCATGCTAGAAAAGATAAAAAACTGTTTAGTTCCTTATACACACTCCTGAATGTTTTTATAAGAATGGTAGAAGACAGGACACTGAGCATGAAGATCTGGGTTTGAAGTTGTATTACAGGTAGTGACATGCGGTCTCACCTTCCTCTTTCTGCAGGACGATGACAAGCTCAGCCTGTTGCAGCCCTAGCTCATCTGGCCCCTTTGGCATGTAGGCCTTAGTGGCCTCATACTGTGGCAAACCTGAAACATATTCCCATAACGCTATGTAGCTGTGGTGTAAAGCTGTACTTGCCACACTGCTGAATATCTACAGCATATCACATTACATCCTGGGATGGGTCATTTTCCATGGAAAACACAGCCTTTGATAATGATATCAAATGTCTGAGATAAGACAACAGCCATCACACAAACAACTTGTGATGATTCTGTTGTAAGTATTCCATTAACAGATTATCACAAGATTGTGTATTTGTATGAGCAAGATTAGTGCATTAAATAGGTGCAGACATATCTGAAATAAAATGTGAACCATTTATTTTCTGTACAGTACGCTGCATTACCCAACTACTGAAGACTTCCATGACAAATGAATAAGTAATAAGAACAGATATTACACAAGACACTAACTATTCAGTTCAAACTCAGTTAACTTGATGCATTTCAAAGAATGACTCTCTTTGTAAATAAAGCATGCTGACTTACCATCTGTACACATGGAGACTCTTGCCTGCTTGTGCTCTTTAAGAGCAACTATCCAACGTGCCCGGTCCACCCTTGGCAAGTGAGACAATAAAGCACCATTAAAATACAACTCTCACCCCAGCGTAGTCCACAGTTTACTGATGACACACAAAAGTCAGTTTCTTATGAATGGACTAGAAGCACTGGAGCATTTTAAGTTGGCATTCAAGACTCTTGTCAATAGAGGGTGCCAGACACTAAATATCACATGTGGTTTTCAGATCATACAAGTGAATATCATTCTGAATAAACCACAAGTCTAGGTTTCCCAGAGGCCATTTTAACCATAGCCATCAATATTCCAAAATAGCAAGAAAGTATTTGCATTTATGTATGAACCAGTGTGCAGCAGAAAGTCAGAGCTTAATTTTCAAAATATCCCTAATGTCATCTTAAAAATGCACCACCTGTATTGATATTATTAGTATTAGTGGTGTGTTTTTAAATTCCATAAATTCTAACTGAACTTATTAGATACACTAGGTGGCTGATGGGAACTCAGAACAGCAGTACCTGGACTCAGCCACCAGGGAGATTTGCTCTGCTCTCCCCTCACTGTTTTTTCTCATCAGCAGTCTGAAGGACAGATAATAGCTGTTCTTGCCAGGTGAAGACGTCAGTCCCTCTGCATCCTCCACGAACTCCACCTCCACATTCTCCACAGTGGCATAGTCCATCACCACAAAGCTCTCCTCACTGTGCATACAAACAGCTTTTACTCACTGTTAAAAGTTTGGCTTATTTTAAAGATGCAACATGCAGGAACATTTGCAGAAATGAGACTTAACACAATATAGTGTAGCGGAACCTATATTTCACCGTGACTCTGTATACACACAAAGCATTCAAACCATATTCCTCGACTAACTTCCATTACCATTTCCCAGGTATCTTGAAGATGGGTCACAGTGTTGACTTTATAACCATCAAAATGACTCCAGTGTTGTAGACAACTCCTTCCTCGGAGCTGACATTGTTTGGTTTCTCCCCAACTCTAAACAGAAAGCTGCAGCCTGTTGAGCTGATGTGCTGAATGCGTGATTGAAGAATCTCAAGTATGCACGCACCACATCCATACTCTGTCCCCTCCTCTCCTCGTTCCTCTGTGTTTCTCATGCTCAGCGCCAGCCTGCAGCTGGACCAACTTACTGTCCACAGGCGTCACCAGGAAAACCACAGAATTTGTGAAATGCTTTACTGTCTGTTTATACTGCTTATTCTGCATTGTTTGAACTGTTTGATGCTGTTAATATTGCTTATTTTATTACACAGCCTTATGCTGATTTACTGTTTACTTGCCTCTTGCATGTGGATATGTACATGCACATTGAAAGTCGATGTACCAGAGTCAAATTCCTCGTGTCCAACACACCTGGCCAATAAAGCTGATTCTGATTCTTCATAAACTGGCTAAGATTATTTTTCTCTAGCCCCAATTTTAGTAGATGCGCAACTAAGCTAGAAAAAAATAATTCAGTGTGTGAAAGAAGCTTTAAGGTTAGAAAGTCACAATTTATTGTGTCTAGAGGCTAAAAACATTTGCTCCCTCTTGCTGCGGTTTCATTGCATCTAATGCATGATTAACCTTCAACAGGATGCTACAGGAGAATTAAGTGATCCCGTTAGATTATAGCTCATTGACTGAGATAATTTTGTCATACTGGAGAACATTTGCAGGTATTTTTGGGAATTAATATGAAATTCTATCAGTAATGTCTTAGTTTAAGTTTGTAAACCCTGTTCCCACAAAATATTTTTGATTTGTAGATTAATATTCAAAACAGTCCAACTGACCTCTTCTTCTTGGTAACAATTAGTACATCATTGAAGAGAAACAGATAGTAGCTCCTATTGCTGAAAGCCTTCCAGATGCTGAGCTCCTCCGCGCACACAGCCAGCTCGCCACGCTTCTTTAGCCACCGCGATGACGACACCAGAGGAAATGGCTGTGAGGACACGAGATTTATCACCCCCTGGTTAGTCTAAGATGTTCTTTTTTTCCTGTACTGGATCTGCATTATAACTACACGAGAGAAAGAAGTTCTAAACCATTTTCCAACTTCCATTATGCTTCTTGCTGTTCATAGTCACACCCATAGCCAACACTCTACCCAACATGTCAAACCCTGGGGAGGTCTACACTGTGTTCTTGGCTCTTACCTTAATTTTACCAAAATCCATTTGTTTCTGGATTGTGTACATCAGCTCTGTCCTCTCCATCCGCCTTGCCCCATCATTGCAGCTCGTGACCAACTGTTGCAATAATAATCACAACAATGACAATCAAGACCTTAAAAACACATGAACCATGTAGTTCATTCTCAAACATGAAATATGAGTTTGAGCTGGAGATCCAGTATTCTCAGCATCGCTACCTTGCTGATTGCATGTAGTGCCCAAACAGCAGCAAAGTACTCCTTTGTCTTGTCTGGAGTTTTCTGGCAGATGGTCTGTAGAGAAAAAAAAAGTATATTTTTTATGTATTATCCATTCTATATCCATAAATAATAGGTCCATAATAATGCTTTTAATTTATTTCTTGGAAAATGTGTATTTGCAGCTCCTGTGTACGTATCCTTCATGTTTGGATTTGAGAGCTGTTCATACAGGAAAGTAAAGGTTCAACTAACATCCAGCAGCAGTGGCAGTCTGGTTACTCGCTGCATGGGAAGGATCAGGAAAGAGATCATGGGGAGGCCCCCGCAGTCCTTGCTCCCCTCAATCTGCTTCAGGGTTTCTTTGAACGCAGTGTTCTTGGTCCTTAGAGACACAAGGAAATATGGAAGATTAGCTTTTTTTGCCCTGCAGACACACAGCAGCACATTGCAGTTTGTTCTGCTACTCACAGCAGCTTCTGCAGTGTCCTCTGCTGGAAGGTCTCATTGGAGCAGTACACAATGTAGGGCTCAAAGTGCTTGGCAGCATGGTTCTGAACAATATCACTGATGTCCCGGATCACTGGATTGTCACTGTGACGCTGTTCAAGGTCCTCAAAAAACCTGAAAATGGAATGACAAAGATGTGTTGTTCCTCCCAGAGATTACTTACCTGATCAGGATATAGCTGTGTGAGGACAGTGTTTGTTTACGCTGAACTGAAAGCAACACATTTTAGGTTTTAAATCAGTGCCCCTGTTAAAAGGTGAGCAGTTAGGCTTATTTTTATAATTGTTTCACTTAAAGTATTTTTGAGCCTGTGATTTTGAAATCAAAAGGGATTCTTCTTGATTTATCTCGGTGGATTAAAAAAAAAAAAAAGTGAACTTCAGAACAATCCTGAAAGCACACAGGGTGACAGTTTCAAGCTCCCGATATATTAAAATACTAGACTTATGTAAAGTTATATTTGACTATAAGATCCAGGTGATCCCATCTGCTAGAGTTTTATAAAGCCTTTCTATTATTAGCATTATTAACATGATAAATGGCTTTCACCCTACAAAGGAGTAAAATGACCCTGAAACAGCCCAACCCAGTAAGCAACTACAGGACATGCATTCACATATTCAGACAGATACCGCCTTCTAGTCTCATAGATTCTATCTTACTTGGGGAACAAGAGGATCAAATTGCAGTTCTTCTTCTGGGGTTAAAACCTGATTTATTTTCACTCAAATTAAAGTAGCCAGCAATGCACAGAGCAGCCTGCTGTCAAGCACATTATCATCTTAGAGCCCGAGAATACCACTCAGAGCAGTTAGGCAGTAGAACCAGTTTGGCCAGCGTGTTTTAACATGTTGATAGAATTTGTAGGATACTAAAGATATGCTAAGGGAAAATACTCCACCTGAAACTTTCAATCAATCCATTTTCCACTTGAATCTACATCTCAGTAGGAATACAACTCAACTGTATGACAAAACACACCATGTTTAGTTTAAAGTCCACAAAGTACAGTATTTACTGTAGGGCAGCTAAACAGCCCACTGCACTGCTGTACACACCAACAGCACCATTAGATCTTTGTTTACGAGGTGGCAAACCTCCCCCACATCTAGTTTTCCTTTGTCCTCTCACATACAGACGTAGACAAGTAAGAGAATAAGAGTGTACCCACCGTTTGCTGACTTGGTGAATGACAGAGATGTTGGAGAAAAGGTGATGGTGCTCTGTGGCCGTCATCGTTTTCCTCAGAGCTTCACTGTCCTTGAAGTGACGCACCAGGATGCCCAGGCTGTGCAGGTACGAATGCTCAGACGTGATGATCTCAAAAATGGCCTGTCAAATGACAACGCATAGCCAAACGTGTGCATGCGGACGGAGCATTCACACTGCAACATTTAGTTTCATTTCAGCTTTAAAAACTCCCCTTGTGATGAAGTTATTTTGTCATGAACCTTTTTATTTACTTTTTCCTGAACTCCCTTTTGTTCCATTTGTTTTTGTCTTCTGTGATTTAGTGATTTCCTGCATTTCTCAGAATTTCTTGGTTTCCCTGTTCAGCAAAACTGCCTCCACCTTTTGCATTCAGCTGTGGGCAAAGCTTCTAAATCTCCCACTAGGTGCACACTTCATGTCCCTGAAACAAAATAAAATCCATGCTGTGGCTCTCTGCTCTCCTGTGACATGTGTGCATACTACAGGGTAATGATTTACACCTGGGAATCAAAGACATGTATCAGCAGATAACAAAACCGGTTCAGATATGAAAGACACATCAGCAGAGACTGATTTGTATCAGTTTTCACAGTAGTCATTACTGAATGATGATATACAGTAAATATGTTGTCATCATTGAGGGTTACTTCACCTCTGCTGTTTGTGGCTCTGTGGTGAGCTATCAGGTGGTGATAGCTCACCTTCCACATTCCTTCTTCTGAAAAGGTGAAGTGGCCCATAAAGGACCAAAAGGCATTACCTGAACTAAATCAAAAACACTACTTCTTGAAACCTCAGACCAACAAACTAAAACCTCAGAATATAACAACAATAATAAACAATGTACGCTGGTAGAGCTCCGCTGTGCTGTTCCTCTCTCCAGACTTAAAACAAAAAGCGGTTGTGCCTTTGATGCTGTGGCTCCTCAACAATGAAACTCTGTCTCAGTGGTCTTAAGCTATGTGGACACTTTTAAAGGAAGCTCCAGACCCATATTTTTAAAATGCATTTTCAGTAGTGATCTTATTCTGCTGTAGTTTTTAAGATATTACTGTTTTATAGGATATACAGGGTTTTTTTTTACTTTTGTGTGAAGCACTTCAGCACTATTGATCTAGAAAGGTGCTATAACATTATAGTAAGTCAGTACAGTTAAAGCTATAAAGAGGGGAAACTTTTTCACTATTTAAATCTTCCCAATATTACTGGAGCACACAGCTAACATCACTAAAACTAAACCCATGACGTGAGTCACATGACTGAATGTACAAAAGAGTGAGACCAGCACCTGTGTACTCGACAGCCTGAGTAGGATTACTCTGGCAGGGTGTGGCTTTATTCAGGAACTGTAGGGCACACAGGGTGGACCTTTGATACGTACACAATATCTATGGTTAGACTGACTGCTCATGAAGACAAATAGTAAAAGAGTGTTACACCATGTGCGTGGTATCATTCTGTGATGTTCAAATACTTTCAAGGAGTTATTTTGTAATGAACTGTAACTGCCTTTGTTGTTATACCAACCTTCCCTGCTTTAATTTCCTCTGTTTCCACTCAGCAAGTCTCTTAATTTCTCACAAAGCCTTTTGACAAAACTTCTGAGAATGAGCATGAACGTGAGCACGTCTTATGGCTGAACTGTATCCTAGTGTTTCAAGTCTATTGTTTACAGAAAGGTTAGTAACTGTGTCTCTCATGACTGAGTTTTCTCCCTGTGTGACTGCCAGATGCTGATGCAAACTGCTGAGTGCGGAAAGAAGACTGTGTGTTTTCAGTCAGATTTTTTTATTACTGAAAAATGTTCTGCCACTCAGCTGCATGAGCTGTCTTTTTGTAGTTCAAGTAAATTAAAATGTCTTCTAGTTGTTGGTGCACACACCCACACACACACACACACACACACACACACACACATCAGCAAACATGCATATTTACCTCTTGTCTCTTTCTTTCCTGAGGTGAGATCATAGACAGGATATCTGTGTCCTTCACCTTTGTAACAGATACGAAAAGAAACTTACGTTAAACTCTTGAATTTTGTTGCATATTTGAGATAAAGCTTGTTTTGAAAATGGTGTAAAAGCCTGTCAGTCATACATAGATGGTGTAGAGCAGGGGTTTTCAACCAGTTGTGACCCAGGAACCACCATTCTGACTAAGAAGTAACCAAAGGACCAGGATTTTGTTTCCCTAAATGCTCATACTTTATATGTCAGTGCAGTTACAGGTTTACCTGTGGTAACTGGCTCCAGGTGAGCTGCACTGGCCGGTAGCTCGTCACCACGATGTTCTGGTCTGCCACAGGAGGCTCCACCACCACAAAGTCATCCAGCAGTTCATCCTGGTTTGTGGAGTGTAGCCCTCGCTCACGGATCTCCTGGTAGAGGCACGGTGTAGCTGAGGATTGCATCAACACCGCTTAATTTTCACTTCAGAGTCTCGGTATGTGATACTTGTGCAGTTTGGATTCAAATGACATTTTACATTAAACAGATCATTATGACCACAGAAACTGGAAAAACACACTGCAAATTCCTTAAATACACAGAGTACAAGAGAAAAATACGTGGTCACTAAACTGAAATATTTCACTCAGAATTCTGTTGTTGAAAGAAGGTTGAGTAATTACAGGAATTCTGCTGTGTGACAACCGAAATACTAAATCAGAGTTAGCATGAGCCACTTTAATAATTAAAACATGGGCGGTGAGAATATGTGGAATAAAACTGATGGTGATACAAGTTTACTGCAGGTTTCTTCCTAGAGTGTTTCATTATTGGAATGAGTGTTAAATGTTCAGGAATAGAAATGAACATAGGAAAGCAAATGCTTTTCTTGCATTTTACATTTCTGAGAACAAAACATTCCTCATGGATCAAAAAGAAGTACTCCACATGTTGGGAGTGTTCAGAGTGAATGAATGACTGTTCAGGATCTTTTCTAGTTATGCTTTGGAGATTATGGCATCCACATCAAATACAGCAGGTCAGTGAACACATTTGTTACTGAGGAACTCTACAACATTTATTTGCAATCCAACAAAAAATGTTAGATGTCTGTTATTTCCCAGCTATTTGTAGTAATGTAGCCAAATTTAGACAAGTGGACAGGGTGACACATTAGTGAACATACCATCTTTAAAGGATCCACGATGCTTCTGGTTCCTCTTTCTCCCCAGAGTTCGCTAGAGGGAAAACAGCAGTGCAGCCTCAGTTTACCACTTGTCCATCAATGACACTTTTTTTTTCTAATCTCTTTATTTCTGCTCACATCTAATTCTCTATTCAGCACTTCCTCTTTCTTTTGATATTTAAATGTTACATTTTTAAGCTGTAGTCTGGTAAAACTGCTCTGAGGGCTTACTCAGCTCTAGTACTGGTGTGAAAGAGAGGAAGCACAGCAGAGGCATACTACCATTCTTATGACTAAAGGAGAATTTGACAGAGGTCATCATCAAAGCTATTAGCTATGCTGGCTTTGAGTAACAAAAATCTTTGCAGTATTTTAATTAGCCAACTGCCTGTCAAATTTCATTTAAAACGACTAAGATTGTGCGTTAACTGGACCAAGTACCTCACTGCCCAACCCCTCTGTAAATATACCTTGCGTCCAGGGCTGCGAGCTGGACCAGGACTGGACACCTTGTTCTCTTTGACAGGTTCCAGCGTGGCTACAACCTCTTTTCTCATCACCATGGCATCTATATCCAGGCTAGTCACAGCCGCTCTGTATGACTTGTTTCTGCGGTTCCTCCTCAAAGCAAAACCTTCTCCATCACTGTCATAATCCTCCCACGATACATCTGCCCCCTGGCATGAGCGATGGCTCCGGGCCCCACTCTTGGAGTTCTCCAGTCCCACTGGGAACGTCACCACAGTGGTGTGGTAGCGGTTCTTAGGCCGGCTGGCTGTGGCTAAATTCTTGGGAATGAGCTGTTGGGTACCAACTTTCAGTGCTGCAGGACTCTGGGTGCTCAAAACTACATTCGGAGGCACCGCAAGCCTGTCTACTACATCTTCCTTGAGTGTGGATGTTTCAGACTGGGGTGCGGGAGAGTTGTGTGACTGGCAGCAATCATCATCTGACTCAGATATATGTAGCTCTGTGGAGAAGTCGGTCTCCAGAATTTGTTGGACCTGGTCACCCATGTGGCTGTCTGACTGGCTGTGGGACATGGCCTTCTTCCCGCCCTAACCTCGGCGTGGTCCACTGAGCGCTTCAAAACCTACAACATTTGAGGAATCTGATGAGGTGAGAAAAATTACAGCCATTAAATAAATACCCAGGAGACATTAGCTAAAACTGCAGTCAGGGAACATAATAAATAAACTGGCCCCTTAAATGGAGACAAGGGAAAACAGCAGGTTAGTCAGATGGAGCAGCCAGTTTTGTCAGTCCTCAAACTCATATCAAGGGACTCAACCCGTGACTCACTGCTCACTCCTACACTGCACTTGCTCACAAAAAGCACAGACCTGCTCCAACAAATCTGTGCGCCACACCACAAGAAAACAAGTTCATTTTCTTTCTGATAACATTTCCTAACTTGTCAATTGCAAACAATTATGCCTGCCTAACTCTCATAGACATTATTATTGAGTCTTAAAATGACATTCGTAAAATACAGTACTTAAGCTTTAAATTCAAATATAAAAATGTACAGCCAACTGCTATAACAACTACGGCAAAATAAATTATTTGCTTGTTTTTCTCTGTAGTCGATCTGTGAATTTCCACTTTGCTGCCTCGAAAACATTTAGGGTGGGAGAAAAAAATGTCCGCCTAACATACCTTTGGTTCAAAACAGCAAAGTGACACGCAGTTGAGCAAACACCGCGATTCCTAGTATTTCAACAGCTGTCTTACCTGTGTCAAGTGACCTTAGAAACAGCTACAGTGTTAATAAATAATATCACAGGTCAGCCCGGACCTTCCCGGAGAACTGCTGTCCTTGACAAATACAGCTTTATCAGCAGCAGTGTTCCTCGGCTCCAGTCTGGCACATATTTCTCCCAACTCTCCCACTTCCTCCTCTGTTTACAAGCGCCCATTAAGCTATGCTAACTACGTCACCACAGGTGAGTGTCAATCAATCAAAAGTGTTAATCTACAGTATATTAAAAAAGGGCTGGCAGCTACGGAACCAGGTCCCTGCAGAAGAATTGCTTTATACTTGGATGTAAAAGCTGTTTCTGAAACGTTGGACTGTTTTTTTCATCTAACTCGACTCATGTTCAATCAAATGCTTTAGAAACAAAAGGTAGAGTTTGAGTCTGAGTCTGATCTATACACATAGTACCAACCCCTTTGCAAATATAAGATGAAATGCAAATGCTCAAATTCGGTTTCTAAAAAACATTTACTATGCTTAGGCTTGTCCTTTCTGTTTGTTGACAGCCTGTGTCAACCTAATTGGCAACAAACAGCTGTTTGTCGCGCTCTGGTGACGAATAAGAGACATTGCACACTGATGCTGCGTGTAAAGAACACAAACACAGGGCTTAAATGCCAGTAGTCAAGGTAAATGTACTTCCGGTAACACTTTTTATTTATTTTATGTATTTTTATTGTCATTGGTGAGATTTTGGTTGTTTATTTTGAATATAATTCTGATATTTAATTCCCCTGTGATATTGTATCACACAGTATGTTCGTGAAACTGGAGTTAAATTTCATGTCAGTTTTTTTCAAAGCTTTAAAATCTCTCTATTATTCAGTCCAATACAGCTGAACAAATGGAAGCCTAAAAATCACAATAGGTGACTCAACACAACTCAAAACAGGACAGTGTGACATTTACTCAAGTGCCTTATAATGTACTAGAGTAGAAGGTTTTATTATACATGGATTTTTGTTGGAGGCAACACAAGCACACTCTGAACATTATTTTGTGATTAACAATTTATTTTCTTGCTTTTCTGAAATTATAATATATATATGACTTCTATTCAACAAAGGCTGAGACATGATATATAATGTAGGAATGAAATGAAATGACAAGTTCTGAAAGGGTCACTATCACTATATACAGAGTTCATATATATATATCTATATATCTCAAATGGCAATGACTTTTTCCATTTCAGCTTCATATGGCATCTGATGAAAAGTAAATTTGAATATTCAATTCCCCAACCAAGACCACGTCTTTAATTATGACATGTGTACACTCAATACCCTACATTAATAAAACTGTGCATCCATCATAACTGTAGTAAACATTTACCATTATGTGGGAATACTTATTTGCAACATTTTGAAAAAGACATCCAGCATTGTGAGTTCCAGTTACTCTTAACTGTCAGTGCACAGATTTGCTTGCAGATTTGGTTTGCTGAGAGTTCAAATCTGCATATCTGTTCAGTTCCACCAAAAATATTCAACACATTTTCCCCATAATTCTATAATTAGCCCCAGATTGATGAAACAATGTCCAGCAAATATGTGAATCCCAGGAATTCTTGATCATCTTGAACTGTTTAGACCAGAAAAACTGTAAATAAATTGGTTGTATAATATTTTGCCGCAGATGTCTAGAGTTAATTGTATAACATCTTTACTGTTCTTTTTTGTAATCAGATGTTTGAATAAAGATATCAGGTCGAATACTAAAGCTATGTATTCCTAATACTAGCGAACAGCTGATGTCAGGCTGTTTCTGGCAGAGAGAGCGCACTGCTTTCTGTAAACAGATCTGCTCATCAAAATTGTATCCTCCAGGTTAGTGGGACAAAGGCCAGAACAGGACACTGTACAAAGAGATTTGCTTTCTCTACTTTTACAGTATTAAGTATCCAGACAAGTAATTTGTTGCTCTGCAATTCTGAATGTATTGTTTTTGAAAAACCACCATGTTCAAATAATAACCTAGCATGAGTATAGTCATACACTGTATCTTTGTTTCCTTTAGTTTTTCCCTAGTTTTTATGCAACACCTACAGACAACATTTCACATTCATGATCACAATAGCTTAACATTTAGTACAAATATAGAACAATTAAATTGGAACATTTCAGTTTTTTCCAGTGACAATTGATCAATTTTGATTTGCACAGCTACCTAATCTTTATATTATTTAAAACAGGACATATCCTATGTGTATATAAATGACAACAGCCTTATCCAAAGAAACATTAGTCTATGCAGTGTTAGGATCACAACTCTGGCAGTAAACAGAAGCAATTTAGGAAGTGCTTCTAAGAACCTGATACAAAAATATAATGACTAGGTACAGAGCATGATAAGGTTGTGATACTGTCTACATACAGAATGAAATTGCAGCTTCATGTTGTAATAAGCCTTTACTGAATGCCATGTTTATATTACCAATCTGTTATGGAGCTACTTTTCCTTTCATTACATAATGGTGATTGTGGCAAATACAAGATACATATAAATGCAGTAACCTTGCTTTTCCTGATGGCAAAATGTTCACAAGCAATCCCTTCAATCTATCAAAAGCTTATTAAATCTCCTGTATGAAATAGCTTCTACTGAGTTGCAAGACAGCAAATAGATATACTGTATACTACAAGTAAATTTAATTTAGTTCAGGACACATGCATTTATAGTAAGTGTTTTAAGCAGGAGAACTGCCACAGCTCTTGTTAAACAACCAACAGTTTGTGTCCATGAGACTTTCAATTGGAGAAAGAAGGTCACACTGCTGTGTTTCCCCTAAGATGACCATCAGAGCCTGTGTGGACAGCAGCAGCAACAGCATGCTCCTGTGGTTCTGGAGGTTGACAGCGGTGTTCAGTGAAGGCCTGGGTGTGGGCGTGTGCAGGTGGGGAATGCTGCGGGACATAAGAGGGGGGGATGGCCCAGGTCACTATTTGGCTATATCCCCTTTCTTGAGTATGATCTGTCGCTGCCAAGGGGCCAGCTTGGTCTCGTCATAGCCCAGGGTTCGTAGTCGTTCCAGTTCTGTCTTCTCCTCCATCTCCTTGGCCTGTTTGGCTTGCTCTTCTTCTTTTCTGGATGAATCCATGAAGAAAGGAAGGGCAAAAGTCCAGAAACAAAACAGAATTTATAATTATAGGGAATCATTCAGTTTTCCCTAAAGGGAACTGATTAATAGACCTAAGAACACAATCATCAAACCTCAGATTAAACCAGTTCATATAATACAAAATAATAACCTATACATAAACACAAAACATATCAGCACTCACAAAATACAGATGGTACTCTAGTTTGATTTTCAAATTGGCCTTGGGATAATTTTGAGTCTTGACCTCTATTGCTACATTACATGGTCAAAAATATGAAGACACCAGCATCTCATTCCAAATTATAGGCGTTAATAGGTGGATAATAATAAGTGGCTGGGAGGACTGCTGTTTCCTGTTCCTGCGGTAATCAAACTCACTTCCTGTTTCCTGTGCCAGGACCGTGTTGTGCTTGCTACATGATTGTTTAGGGATTAAGCTAACTATTTTCTAGGTTCATCTGAACATCAGCTAATTTTTCAGTCACGACATACGCCTATACTAATTAAGCACCTCTGTTACACAATTTTTTGCAAATTACCAAATTTAACTTGCTACTTCAGGTCGGCTAGCTTAGAAGCTAGCTAAGCTAGTAGCTTAGTTGAGAGCAATGGCTCCCCGCTCTTCTTTCTCTCCCTCAGAGTGTTGCATGTTCAGTTATTCCTCTGCCTCCTTTAGTGATAATGGTACTTGTAATAAATGTCAGATTCTAGCAGCACTGGAGGCGAGGCTTACTGATTTGGAAGTGCGGCTCCGCACCATGGAGAACAGCCCAGCTAGCCGCGCCCAGGTAGCCGGTGTGGAGCCTCCTAGATGTAGCGTAGCCCAAGCTAGCCGCCCCCCACAGCTTCCCGAGCAGCTGGGATCTCAGAGAGGTGGCTGGGTGACAGTTCGCAAGAGTTGTAGCTCCAAACAAATGCCCACGGAGCATCACCTGCCTGTTCATGTTTCCAGTCGATT